CCCCTGGGTTGGAAGCATCTCAAATGGTGTACTTTGCATGCAGACAAGAGAGCAGCCAGCTTATTAGATGAGCTTTGTGCAGCCAGTCTAGTCTTCCTGCTGCGTCCATGGGGGACAAATGCTGCCTTATTGAAACAAAAAAAGAGTCCAGAAGATTGAAGGCATAAGTGGACTGTGATATTGAGTGACCCAACTTTACAGAAAGCCAAATAAATTTCTTTTAAAGGTAAAAGGAAATAGAATAAAATTTGGATTCTTTCTTGTCTCTTGGGTGCTTTTGTATCATTAAGAAATCTCCATTTTTTGTTGCTTGGAATGAGGAGGCATTCAGGGGGAGAAGTCTACTCCTTTTGGTCCTGTGGCAATGCATAAGGATGCTTTATTAAGCTTGGTAAGGAGGGTCTGGTCTGTGGAAAGCAGGTGAGTCATTTTGGGGAAAGTCAGTCAGCCACAATCCGCAGCTTGTGATTCTTGAGCACAGATGTTCTTGTGGCTGTAGGCTGTGCAGGATTTTGGGGAGGATATGGAGGGCCCCTGAAGTGACCTTGAAGTGTGATTGCCTGGAGCTGAGCGGCGGCTGGGAAGATGTTTGCTGATTGCTCAGTAGAGCTGTTGTGTGGCTTTATCTTGGGCTTCCTTCCAATCTGATTCAGCTGTTATCCCTTCTCTCCAGGCTGGGGGCTGTACGTTGATGGCACCTGAGGCTTCAGATGCAGGTCTGGTCTTCAGGGGACTTGAGCTCAGGGCAGGCTGATACTCGGCAGCCTTCAGAGCCTATGTACAGACCAGAGATACTGAGTTGTATGAAGAATATCTCCAGCCAGCATTACTTTTTTTTTTTTTTTGTCGGTTGTGGAGCTTAAACTCTGGGTCTGGGTGCTGTCCCTCAGCTCTTCAGCTCAAGGCTAGCACTCTACCACTTGAGCCACAGCGCCACTTCTGGCTTTTTTCTGCTTATGTGATGCTGAGGAATCGAACCCAGGGCCTCATGCATGCAAGGCAAGCACTCTACCACTGAGCCACCTTCCCAGCTCCAGCATTACTTTTAAGGCTAATAACACATTTGCTCAGACACTGCTTCTCTGTAACAGTATAGGTACCAAGGAAGGTCTGTTGAGTGATCTAGAGTGATTTTGGTGGTGCTTCATGTCTTGGCCTTGTGAGTTGCTGTGATGTGAATGAACTCTTTTGGGCTTCCACAGACTCATGGACAGCACAGGGGTTCATATCTTTGAGCCATTAGAACAAAATACCATCAATCCAGTGGCTTATAAACAGCAAAAGCGGGTTTCTCACACTGCTGGAAGCTGGAAAGCCCAGGGTCAAGACACAAGTATATTTGGTGGCTGGTGAGGATGCACTTGGTTTGCAGAATGACATTTTCTCCGTGTATTCTCACATGGTGAAGGGTCTAGATGGATCTCATCAGTCTCTTTCCTAGGGGGCGCTGATAGCAATTCCAAGAGCTCATCATGAGCTCATGAGCTCATCAACTTCTCACACACCCCGTTTTCTGATAGTACCCTAGCAAACCCTCTGTAAAGTGTGTGTGTGGGGCGGGGGGAGAGTAGGATTTCATTTTGGGTTTGGAGGGACACAAACTATGGTCTCTATGAGACCGTAGTTTAGTTTATGTAATAATTCCTTCATTTGCTATTGGTCATTAGGCCAAGTGAATTTGCTTTAGAGAAGCAGAAAAAGAGTTGAGAATGAAGAATCACAAAGTCATTGTATAGCTAAGAAGGTTAAAGAGAGGGGAGGAAAGGGAAGGGAAGGAAATACAGAGGTTGGCGCTATCATGAAGGAAAGGCTAGATGCTGGCCATCCAGGCAGAAAGCCCGGGCATCAGGCCTCTTCTAAGAAGCGGATGCAGAGACGGAGACACTCTCATACATTGGCCTCATTTAGCGGGGAGGGCCACACTTCTCGCAGTATAGTAAACTTTCAGTACTTTGCACTGGTTTCAAAATGATCTATTTTAATTGCCAAAAAATAACTATATAATACCATCTAAAGATAACTACTGTTGTCATTTTGGTGTATGTTTTTCTAGCTGTCATTTTACGCACAATGAACAAAATAGTTTTCACAACTGTATAATATGAGGGTGAACTCATACATTGAACTAGTCCCTGGCTGTTGGATAGTTGAGTTCTTTCTGTTTTTTTGTTTTCTTCTATTAAACAGGTAGGTTTATCATGAGTCGTAGGGAACCCGGGCTGTTTCTATAGCTTTGCTATTGTCCATAGTGCTACAGTGAACATGCATGTGCAAATGCAAATTGTAACCTGACTTACATTCCTTCCGCTGTTTGCCCAAGAGTGGTATCACTGGATCTTAGAACTAGCTTTTGATAGTTCCATTTTTATTTTTTTGAGGAATCTCCACACTGGCTTCCCTAATGGGTACACTAGTTTACCTTCCTTTCAACTGTGTATAAGGGTTCTTTTTCCCATATCATCTCAAGGATTTGTTGTTTATCTTTTTATTTTATTTTTTATTGTTATTGTAAAAGTGATGTAAGAAGGGTTGTTTATGTTTTTAATGATGGCCCTTCTGGCCAGAGTGAGATGGAATCTCAATGTCTTTGGATTTGCATCTCCTCGGTGGCTAGGGATGTTGAGAATTTCTTCATGTTTCTTTATTGGTTATTTGCACTACTTGTTTTGAAGATTTTCTGTTCAGTTTGCCTGTCCATTTATTAAATGGGTAGTTGACATGTTCAGAGTTTAGTGTTTTGAGCTCCTTCTACATTCTGGCTCTAAGTCCTTTATCAGATACATAGTTGGCAGAGATTTCTCCCATTCTGTAGGCTGTCTCTTCTGTGTAGTTACTATATTCTCTGCTGTGCAGAAGCCTTTTAGTTTGATGCGATTCAATTTGTCATGGAATTCCGTTTTGTCAGTACAGATTGACAAATTCCATTTGCTAAGCCTTGCTCTTAATTGCTGAGCTGTTGGAGTTCTGTTAGGAAGTTACTCTCTATGCCACCACTTGTAGATTCTAGAACTGTATGTTTAGGTTATTGTGCACTACCTGTGCATCATTCAGTACAGTGAGACCATGCAGCCGGGGTACTTGAATAGAGCTGGAGTTTTTGTCTGCATTGTCCGCATGTAATGAGTATACTTTCAGTAACAGGTTGAGTAACCCTAATTGTAAAATTTGAAATGCTATGAAACCTGATTTTTTTTTTTGGCCAGTCCTGGAGCTTGAACTCCTGGGCACTGTCCCTGAGCTTCTTTTGCTCAAGGCTAGCACTCTACCACTTGAGCCATAGTGCCACTTCCGGCTTTATCTGTGTATATGGTACTGAGGAATTGAACCCAGGGCTTTATGCATGCTAGGCGAGCACTCTACCACTAAGCCACCTTCCCAGCCCTGTTTTTGGATCTAATTTTCAGTTTAGTCTCTGCAAATATTCCCAAATCCTGAAAACTTTCAAATTAGGACCACTTCTGGTTCCAGGTATTTCATTTAAGATGGACCAGGTCTGATTCCAGGCATTTTACGATGTGTTCAACCTGTACCTGTGAACAATAGCAGCACCCCTCGCTCACCTTTGGCAGTCGGCCCTAAACTCTTCTTTATGTCTGGCCTACAGCTGGCAATTACTCCAGGAGGGAAGAATGGGAAGAAGCGACACAAACGAGGATCAAAATAGCTGCCAGTTACCTCGTGCTTATGTGACTGCTCACGTTTCCTGACCAGTGTAACATTTCCATGTTACAGATGAGCAATCCAAAGACCTTAAGAAAGCTGCTCAGAATCATACAGCACTATGGGTTATATTGCAGTGGGATCCTGCTTTAGTCTGAGTGTCAAGTCCATGTTCTCTGGCTGGCAGCATAGCTCAAGTTGGTCAAGGACTTGCCTAGCATGAATGAGGCCTCAGGTTCCATTCCAAGTACTGAAAAAAAAGTGAAGTCCTTGTTCTCAGTTATTTTAATTGATTGCTGTTGAGAAAGACACTTATGCCTGTTTGTTACTAAAAGACTCAAGGTAGAATGATACTTCATTTTTTTCCACTTTCCCACTCTCCCTTTCTCTTAACCAGATTTGTGCTTGTTTTTCACTTAGCTCAATGTTAACAGCCTTAGACATGACATGACAATGGGAGAAGCTAGATAGCTAGACCCTCTCCCCCAAAGATGTCAAACTCCCCAGGGAGAGAACACAGAAGAATTGTTCCCCAGCCTAGGTTTTTCCTTTCTTTTTATAAAAATTGTTTTTGTGCTATAAGGGTAGAACTAGAGGGTTGGGCATAGTGATAGAGTGCTTGCCTAGCGTGCACGAAACCCTGGGTTCAATTCCTCAGTACCACATACACAGAATAAGCTGGAAGTGGTGTTGTGGCTCAAGTGGCAGAATGCTAGCTTTGAGCAAAAGAAGCTCAAGGACAGTGCCTAGTCCGGACTTCAACTTCAAGCCCCAGAACAGGCCAAAACACAAAAAGTAGAACTGGATTACTGTGAAGGACATCTGGCCAACAAAGTCAGAAGTATCTATTCTCAATGAGCATTCATACCTGTAATGGCTACAAAGGAGGCTGAGATTTGAGATGGCAGTTCAAAGCCAGCCCAGGCAGGAAAGTCTGTGAGACTCTTACCTCCAGTGAACCAAAACACAACCAAACAAACCTGAGAGTGGAATTATGACTCAAGGGGTAGAATACAAGCCTTGAGCATAAAAGCTCAGAGAAAGTACCCACAGCTTAGGTTTCTCTGGGGCCATTGCTGGGATGGAAGGACAGACTGACACGGTTCTTTGATGTGTTGGTACCACCCTACCCTTACTCTGGGACAGTTTTCTGGCTGGAACATGACTTTTCCACCCAAGACCATGGACTAGTCTCAAGACAAACCAACCCAGCCCTTTTAACTAAAGAAGTGGCAGTGATAATTTGTGAGAAGCTGATTCACAGCGCCGCTGAACGGATGGCTTAGAAGTTTTAGGAACAGAGGTGCAACCTAATACCTTCTCTGTTGTTTCTACTTCAGATGCAGCAGCCTGAGCTCTGCTCCCCGAAGGACAGCCTCTACATCCTGGCCCGGGGCCTGGGCCGCCTGCTGTGCTGGTGGGGCCTGGCCGAGCTGATGGTTCACCTCATGTACATGCACGCCATCTACAGTAGTGCCCCCCTGCTGGGGGCCGTCTCCTGCTGGACCTTAGGTAACTGTGGAAATCACCATCAGCAGGACAAGTTCTAGTGGTGACAGGGGGGAGGTGGTTGCCAGATTGCTCAGTGCTCAGAAGTACAGTTGTCTTGAGCAAACTGTTGTTGTTGGTTTCCTATGTGCTCATAACTGGAGTGTAAACTCAGGCCTCATGCTGTCACTTGACTCTTTTCCTCAAGGCTGGTACTTTGCCTTATGAACTATCCCTTCACTTCTGGCCTTTAGGTGGTTAATGGGAGATTTAGAGTCTCAGGGACTTCTCTGCCTGGGCTGGCTTTGAACTATCATCCTCAGAGCTCAGCCCTCTGAGTAGCTGGGATTACAAGTGTGAGTCACCAGTGCTCAGCTTCTTTGCTCTGACCGGCCTTTGAGCAATGCTGCTTTGTTTGTGAGCCTTATTCCTCTTAGTGAAGAAGGTGATGCGTGTGTGAGGTGTGGGTGAGGGAGGTGAGGGCTGTGCTGTTTAGACTGGGAATTGAGGCTATGTGACTCTCCCTGTTCTGGAATCTTCTGAGCCCCACTGGGCATGCATCTTCATGGTATAGCCAGGTTGCTGAGACTGCTCAGGGGTCTATTCTAAGAGGTAATACTCCAGGATAGAGTTGGTCTGCAGGCTCTACCAACCATAGCCGCACCACCGTTGCTGGCTTATGAAATCTGGGTATTAGAATATCACAAGATTTAATGTACATTTATTCTTAACATGTGGAACATATAAAGATTTTATACTGAATAAATGATAGAATGTCTGTTCTTAAAGTGAAACATACCTTTGCAGAATTGGTATTCAGATCCCTGTTGTGTCTCAAAGGAAAGAGAATGAACTTCAGAGTCAGACAGACCAAGGTTTGGATCTCAGCTCCACCAACCACAGTGGGCAACTTCTGATGCTTTATTAAATCTGCCTGGATATCAGAATTTTCTTCTTCTTTTTTTCAAATGAAACTTACCCTTCCAGAAGGATTTTGAGGTATAATGAAAGGATACATATTAAGGCTGTACCTCCTAAAGTCTCTGGTTGATAGGATAAATGGCATGTGTGTGTGTGTGTGTGTGTGTGTGTGTGTCTGTGTACACCCTGCTGGGGCCTCCCTCTTTTACCTACCCTTGTCTCCACATTGCCAGCAAGGGGGAATGAAAGTCTTGTCTCAGCAGGGCATAGTCCCCAGTGCAGGATTCTCTGTGAAGAAACCATTCTTTATTCCTCTGGCTAGAACAGCAGAGACCATGCTCCGATGTGAACTGCATCTCTTCCCTCCCTTGTTTTGCTCTTTTGGAGAACTCTCATGCTGGCTGAGTTCTGCCTGAGGTCTGACCTCTAGCCTGTAGCTGCAGGAGTGTGTGTGTATGTGTGTGTGTGTGTGTGTGTGTGTGATCTTCAGGGCAGATTAAGCTGCTCCCTGCTGAGGTCACAAGAACAAGCCTGTCTCCTTATCTTTTTGATGATTTATAGTTTTTTTTGTCCTGACTGTCACCCATGCTTAATCAGGACATTTCTAAAGGAGAAGACTTTTTAGGACTGAAAAAATGCTGAGCTAAAATTGTTATCAAAATTGATAACAATCTCTTTTTTCCAAACAGTTTTTTTAAGCAACTAGCGTTGTGCATTTCCTTTGGCTACAAAAGGTTCTTTTAAAATGTTGACTAACGTGTAATCATTGTACACACGGGGTACAGTGTTACATTTCAATGCATGTATAGTATGTCATGATCAAGTCAAAGTAATTAGCATTTCCATACTCTATTATGTCTATGCTTGGAGTTTTCATGCTCCTTTCTTTTACCACTTTTTGTATTTGGATGCTATTTCTTGCTGCCTTTGAGGTACACTGACCTAGGAAATATATTTATTTTCACCAGACATGAGTTCATACGCATTTTTTTTGGTCAGTTGTGGGCACTGTCCCTGAACTGTTTTGCCCAAGGTTACTGCTTTACCACTTTGAGTGGTGATTAAGAGCCTCATGGACTTTCCTGTCCCCAGTTGGCTTTGAGCTGTGATCCTCAGATCTCAGCCTCTTGAGTAGCTAGGATTACAGGCATAAGCCACTAGCGCCCAACTTATAGATATTTTAAGTTCATGCTAAACACAAATTTCATGAATTTCAGTGTCTTTTTCATTTTCCGTTTGCATCTTTTTTCATTCAAATCAGTGAGGATCTTAATTCCTAATTATATTATCAATTTACTTATTTGCTCTGCCTTACACTACACTATACATACAAAAATTTCAAAATTATGACACACAGCATTATAACGATAAAATCACTAACTGCTAAATGACATTAATCACTTAAGGTCTTTTGGCTCTTAGAATAGATGTATACTGAATGTGTATATATTGTATTCAAAAGCCATTTGAAATAATTTTCAAATTATATATGTCATATGACTCATATGGTATTTGGTAAGATTAGTGTAATTTAGAATTTTGGATTTACTTTTGTGTTTTGATTTACCAGTGATCATTTTCTTTCTAGACATTTTCTTTGATACACACAGATCTTTTTTTGTCATTTCTTTTCCTGTATATGTGGTCATTCCTTGGTATCTATGGGAAACTGGTTTCAGGAACTCCCTTGGGTACCAAAATCTACAGATTTTCAAAGTCCTTCTACAAAATATGTGGTATTTTCATATAGCCAACACTCATCTTCCTATACCCGTGAAGCATCTTTAGAGTATACGTAATGTACTGAAAGTGCCAAGTCAGCGGTTGCTTTACTTATTATACAGGAATAATCATAATAAGAAGACAAGGTATATCCATGTTTGGTATGGTACATTTTTAATAAATATTTTTGGTTCATTGTTGATCAGTGAACCCATACAACTGCATTTCTGTATTTTAAAAATTTTAAACACACTGCATACAACTATTTTATATTCTATCGCTAAAGATGATGTGAAGTATATGGGGAGGATTTTCAATCTGGGTTAGTCTGAGTCTCCATTTGACTTTGGTTGCTTTGAGAGTTTTGGTTTTGAGTTAATGTTACTTGCCATTTTGTCTTTTGGAATTTTTTAGGGTGTGTATTTGCTATATATGTATATATAAAACAAATATATATACACACACATATATATATCAAGAGATAAATATTAATTTAATTATTTAAATGGCATGCTTATTTATGTCCGATGCATTGAGTTATTACTGAATTGATGCTATTTTTAACTTCTAGTTTAGGTGTTGGGGAGCAAGGATGCACAGGAGTAGGAATTTTTGCCTTTGGAGAACTGTTTTCATGTGAGATCCCAGTCTGACCTCCTGTGTATTGGGGGTTCCACAGGTTGTTGCCTGAACTCACAAGCACTGATGCCTCCCAGTCTTCCTGCTTGCAATTTGTTGTTCCTGGCGTCCAAAGATTTTGTTATTTTCTAAATAGTTTAAGGACACATTTAACAATATGCTTTTAAATATTTCATCCAGATTTTCTTAGTTGTTCTCTCCTCGGGATTAATCCCCTGCATGGGCATAGTCTGTTATGTGGTCAGAAGTGTAAGTCTTAACAGTGCCCTTTTGTAAGAGGAAGGTCAGTCTCTCAAACAGTATCCCCAGCAGCTCCCTGGGTAACTCATGGCCATAACTGGGTCACATGTCCTTGCTACAGTCATTCTTTACAAGATTCCCATGATTAGCTGATAATCAGGTATTTCTTTCAAGTCAGTATGAGGAAGGAGTCAGGCATTTGAGCAGAGTTGCATGGCTATCGACAAGGACTGGTGAGTTGTTCAATGAGGAACCAGTAATGTCCATTTCTGAATATGAAATAGCACTATTGCATCTTAGAAAAACTTTAAAGCAGTATAAGAGGCATCCTGGAAAATAGAAAAGCTTAATTTTTTGTGATTGTTTCATGTCATCTTTCAACAATTAACCTGGGGCTCAGAATTTGTTGGGTGACCACACATCCCACTTCACAGACCTATTTTATATCTTAGTGTAATTATTTATAGTGATACAGTTCCTTTCTAGAAATAAGAAAGTGTCATAATTTGGGAAACATAATCAGTTTCTTAATAATCTTTTCTTTTCAATATCCTTGTTCTATTGTTATTCACCTCCTGATGCACAATATCGTCTTGCATATTAATCCCTTCCATACTTGAAAATACCTTGGCATTGAATTCCTTCTGTACTTGACTATGTAGCATTTGAGCCGAGTGCTGTCATACTCATTTCTCCATTCAGTAAGTATTCATCCAGTTCCCGATATTTCTTGCACTTGGCCTCAGGGATCTGAAGATGAGTCAGATATAGTCCTTGTTTTCAAGAAGCTCATTCTAGAGAAATGGTACATGAAGAAAATGGACTTTGTTTCTCATTTTACAGGACTGAAGTTGATGTCTGCATAGACTCAAGGGACAGAGGGCACAAAAGAGGAAGGTGCTATTATTCACCTTCTTGCTAACCCAGGAAACAGAGGTTTCAAAGGGGAATTGATGCACCAGATGGCTGTGACATACTAGGTGGACAGAGCTGAGGGAGGAGCTGAGCCCACGGCCCCAAGGTTCTTCCTGGGATGGGTTACTCTGGTATGCTCAGGGAATGGTGAGTTGTAACTATAGCTAGATGCTGCTCGAGGGGATAAAGCTTGAGGGCTATAGTTTGGATCTGGAATGGCTCTTAAAAGCTAATGTGTTGAGGATTTGGTCCCCAGCTAGTAAGACTGCTGGGAGATGGGCTGCTTCCTAGCTACCATTAGGTGAGCAGATTTCTCCTGCCACACACTTTTCCATAGTGTACTGTCTCCACAGGACCAAACACGAAGAGGCCAAAAGACCCTGGAACCATGAGCATCTGTCCTCCTTTTCTCCCTCCTCCCTCTCTTCTTTCTCCTCTCTTTCCTCATTCCCCCCAATACAGGATTTGAACTCAGGAGCTAGTGTTCCTGCTTGGCCCTTTTGTTTAAATATGGAGCTCTACTACTAAATCTATACATCTCAACTTCTAGCTTTTTGCTGGGCTGGTTTGGAACTGTGATCCTCAGA